AGAAGTAGCTAAGAACGCTTCCAATTTGATATCATTTTGAGTCTTTAGAGTTTGAGTAAGTCTGTTTCCTGAAATTAAAGGCAAGGAATAACCAGATCACGCCAGGCCTTCACCTTAGATTTGAATTGAGATATTATAACGTCCGAAGTGAAGCCATTTGTCTGGCGATTGTCTTAACATACTTCACTGGAAGCAACTTTTTTAATTTTCGCTGTTCTTATAATAACCAAGCTTTAGTAGGATTGTCTACAACGACATTGTGTAGTTATTGATACATTTGCTTTGGCCTTGAATGTGGCAAACACCACAGCATCCAATCACTTAAAACTCATGGCGTTAAAATGCTTAAACCAGCATCTACTGCAACTTCATACTTCGTTATTGACCTGTCAGGGGGCGGTAGATATGCAACTAAATATGTAGATCGATTGCACTTTATTTCGCGTGTGAACACTAAAATACATTTAAGTGTTTGAAATAAAGATGTCAGCGAGGCAATTTATTGCTGGTGAGACTTGATCATTGCGTGTGCAGTGGGAAAACATCACCAAACCGTCAGCGCTTGATTATTTAGCTACAGTAATGGCTTCAAGGCCAGCAGGTGATCTTGCGCATAAATATTTAGTTATGTATAGATAAATTTAGTAGTTGAGCATTGCAAACAGAAATTTATTGCGCTGTCTTTGAGCTGCTGACAGAAAGTCAAGCGAAATGTGGTTGCTTCGATTTGAAAAAAATAAATAAATAAAATAAAATCATCTCAAGGCGCGCATGCGCAAGCGTGCGTGGGAAAATCTTTGTTAAGTCGCTTTTTTCTTACTTTTCAAGTGTTTTGATAGTGATTCATGTTTGAGAGCGTTCATTTATTGTGCAAAAAAAATTCTCATTAAATTTTAATTTTCTTAAAATCGACTAGAAACCATTTATAAAACTAAACTAATGCAATAAATTAATAGTTTTACACATATGTATGTTTGTATAATCAGAACTATAATTTTCAACTAAATTAAAACTAGTTGTCATGTAACTAGTTCTAAACTAGTCACACACCAACCAGTTATATTTTGTGAAAACTCACAGAATTTTGTTTGCTACTACATAATAAGTTTTTAAACAAATTTTAATATGCGCCGTTTGCAACTAGTTCTGAACTAGTACCTTTTAAACTAGTTAGTATTTCATTAAATCAGCAAAAATGCAGTACACTAATTCCATTTACTGCTGGCGTCACAATTCACATTACATTAATTTATTTCGTTTGATCCCTTTATTGCTAGTTGCAAACTAGTCTCCCTCAAACTCATTTGCTTGCACTTAAGCAAAAAAAATTTAATTTATTAATTGCAGTTTCGCCTACAGGCTCTGCAACTTACTCACTTACTCGAAATTAAGCTACTTAACTTTGGACGAAGTCTGCACTTGATTTTCTACTAAATTACATGCACTCAGAGCACACTGCACTTCGTTCCGCTCCGTTAGCAATTGTTCATGTACGGACGCAAGTAATAAAATTGCCCCAATAACCCTTGACATTGGGTGCTGTTGCACTTGAAGTGCCCCATTTACGGTACATGTTTAAGGTTAATTGAGGCAACATTACAAAAATTCGTTGTGAATGTATGTGTTTATACTCGCAGTACTTGGAATTGTGGCAAGTGAGCGATGGCAGAAAAACAAACGAAAATGTGGAAAAATGCTATAATAAAGCAAAGTGTGGCAAGCTGGAAAATGGATAACTAGATGTGCACCTAAATATAAAATTAACTGGCTGCATTACAAGTCCATATATACAAACATATGTATGCACATAGGAATATAAGTATGCACAAACATTCATACATTTTCTGTTCGCGTTGCTTGGCAAAAACTGAAAATGTAGGTCATCCTGTCCACAATTCCAACATTTTTCGTCCAAGTGTGCGCTTAAGCGCCAAATATTTTTGGTTTTGCGCTGGCTAGTTGAAATTTGGCTGCGGGAATTATATGAGTTTTATGCACTAAGCTTTGTATTTGGCAAAGAACTGAGTTTGTTTTGCAAGAGGTGAATGTTTACATAGGGATATACATATGAACATACATAGTAGATACATATCTATGCGAAACTATTTGTGAATTCGAAATTCTGCAAAAACTATGAAAGCGTTGATACAGTTAGTTAAATATTTGATGAATAATTTTTTTTTTAAGAAATATTAAAATCCAAAGGGATAATCTTCAAGCTAAATACGCGAAAGGTTTTGAAACCTTTACCACAATTGAAAAAATGTTAAACGAAATTTATTTGGGTGGCCGGTAGTTCTTATCATTTAAAGTAGTTAATCATACGAAATCTTCTTCTTTCCGAAGACGGAATAAAGCTTTGGAAACTTACATTTGTAGAATGTAGGCAACCAGGCTTTCCTACAGCAGCAGGCCCAGATTCATGTCTAGCCTTGAATTGTCATTTAGCAGCATTCCCCGAAAGTCTTTGAGAAATTTCTTGGCCATTACAACAACCACAATAAGCGGATCATTCGAAAACCTAAGCTTTTTCGTGTCTTTACTGAAAGTGATTTTTGTATGGCAGATCTCAAATGGAACATAACAAAACAGCTCAGAAGGTCCATACAGGAAGACAGAGGTGAATCAGCTTTAGCAGCCTCGGTGATCTAGCGCTGAGTAAATCAGCACTGAGCAGAGTTACCGAGCGAACTACCAGCAGTCTAGCACACGCTCAAACGCACTTCTAGAAAAGATTACTCAGTAACCCGATAAATGAGACGATGAGAGCAGAAGTGGCCTAACCCACATTTTTTTTTGTACTTAACTCCCTAAAATGAATTCAAATGTAATAAATTTACGTTATGTTATCACATTTGAGACTATTTTAAGTACGAAAGTTCAAAAAAAAAATTGTTGACTTAGTCCACTTCTGCTCTCACGGACTCAAATATTCGCCACATGGCACTGTATTCGCCACATTCGCACGATGTAGGCTTACGTCGATTAGATAGTTTTTTTTTAAGAGATATTGGTGATTAACTGCTTAAAGTACCAAAAAAAACCTTTTGCGAAAAAATTTCGAAAGTGCTTTTTGAAAAAAAAGGTATGGTTTTCATGTTCAGCGACCCAAGTTTAGCTTAGACTAGTATATATAGTCAAGAGTAAAGAATGAAAATAAAGAAGACAACTAACAGCTCCACATTGTAAACTAGCTTTACAGCGCTAACCCACTATAGGCTGTGTTGCCTCAACTGCAGAGTGGGACACTCATGGGCCTCATTCCTTTCGATCCCGTAGTGACCCAAGTGTGCTTCTCTTACATTTCTTCCTTTCTCCTGAGCTCTACTTGCACTTAATTTGAACCTCTTGAAGCAAAGTTTGGTTTAGTCGTGGTACCATATTCCTCTTACTTTTGGAAAGTAACCTCTTGGAAATATAATGTTGCTAAGCAAAAGATACTCAACCTTAATTGAGAATAAAGTTCCCACCGGTAGCGTCAGATAGCCCTGAGTAAAACACCTTACAATGAGCAGTCGATATTTTGCCGTCTTGTCGCTTCAAAAATAAAATGCCAAGCTTTGGCTTTCCGTGCTTAGTACATGGAGCTTTGGTCGCAATAAGCATGGAACTTCATACCTATCCAGCCTGACACCCATCCAGCTTTGGAACAACTGCCGTGGTCCACTATATCATAAAGTCATTACATGAAAGGGCGAGGGTTTGTCCACTTCATTCTTATCCTACGTACATGTGTATTTTATGGAGTGGAGTTGCCATCTTAATCCATATTGAAAAGATATTACTAAATGGGTATCAAACGAAATATTTTTTGAGAAAGTTTAAATCCAGACATATTTTTAGCAAACTGTTAATATTAATTTAAAACGGAAAGTATTTAAATAAGGTAGACTTTCTTAATAGAGTTGCCACCTGGGTACAAAAACATGTATTATAAAATATAGGTTTGCTAAACCACACCAATATTGTCATCTCATAAAAGAATTTCGTAAATCTCCAATCCAGATTTTTTGCCACAGGGTGCCATCTATGAGTTTACAAAAAAGAGTTAAAATATAGAATGTGATTTCCATAAAATGTTTTGGTTATACTCTTAAATCACATATGTTTTTGGCAGGGTTTTGAAATTTATATTTTTGAATAGAGTTGCCACCTATATGCTTAGTAAAAGTCAATTTAAGAATATATGCCTAGTAAGGCTTAGTAATATGTGCATGAAACGAAAGCTGTTTATAAAATCTTGAGTTCAAACTTATTTTGAAAAGGGTTGCCATCTATGGGCATATTCAAAAAGATTTGCAATATTAGAATTAAATGAATTTATTTTGTGAAACGTTTAGCCAGCCTTTTAAACTTAATAAAGTAGAAATATATTCCACAAATGGGAATTTTCCGGAATAGAGTTGCAACGTATATACATATTTATATACTATTCAAAAAGCAATAAGAGAATAACCGTTGGTTTAGTGAAGCATAACAAAATAAGCAAACACGAAAGGTGTTTGTAAAATCTTGAATACAGACTTATTTGTAACAGAGTTACCACCTTTTAAAATATACGAAATAAGCGAAATGTGTAAAATTGTTATATTGTGGTGACAAACGAAAGCCGTTGGAGGATACTTTAATATGGGAATTTGTATAAAGTTGTCATGTACAGTTGAAAAAATAAAATTAACTAGATTTGAAAAAAGCTAATATAAAAGAAGTCTCTTTTAGTAAATGTGTTGAAAATTAACTTTGAAAAAAAATTTTTGCTAAAGGTTGCCAAACAACAAAAACATTTTTAAATATTTTTACAATCGAGGTTAGCTAAATTTAGGGAATTTTGTATCAATGAGATTGATTATTTATAAGAAACCTAAAACTTTGCTGCTTACCGAAATATTTACATAAATAAATCATAACTTTTAAATTTATTGCTTAAAAAATTAAAATTTTGTTTTCACATATTATCAAAAATTAAATTAATTTTTACATTTTTCCCCATTCCAGCATTTTTATCGTAAACACGAGCAGCCTTAATTTAACAAATTTCGTTTTGCGATCAAGAACCCGTTTAATACGGCGGCAAGCAGCTTTAGAACGCAACAAAAAAGTAAAAAAAAAAAAACAAAAAAGCTGCTACCAAAACGACAAAAAAATTAAAACCATTTAGAAAACAGCAACTAAACCCATGTAACTGTGTCGGGTCATTGGACGCCAAACAAAAACAATAATTACAAATAAAAAAGTAATATAAATAAATGCCGTTAGCAAAGTGAGCTGAGTGAGTGACTGACAGCAAAGTGTGCGTGCTAAACTAAAATTGCTGCGCTATCGCTCGAGTGCTGCTAAAGCAAAAATAAAAACTAAAAAAAAAAATACATTTTTTATAATCTATTTGTGCAAATAAGTGCAGTGAATTAGAACACACACGCGAAAAAAAATTTAAATTAATTCAAGCAGAAAATATTTGCGATTTCATAACTAAAAAAAAAATTGCAATTCAAGTTTCGCTAAAAACACAAATTACACGGTTTTAACAAATTTTGCCGGTTTTTTGTGTTGTGCTATTTTTGTTGCACAAGTGTAATTAAAAAAGGGAAGCCGGTCAGTGCAACTAAAAATAAATCAGCACGCATACACTCGCACTCACCGCGCAGAGTCAACAAACACATTTAGAAATACACACACACGTCGAGTGCAAGCAAAGTGAAGTTGAAGGGACGCCGCAGCAACAATTCGCAATTATGGGGCAATACAAGCAACTACAACAACAACCACACAGTCAGCGGTGGCGCGTATGCGGTTTGTACGCGTTCGCAATTTTGTGCCTCTGCAGTGCATTAATAGGTGAGTTTGCTATATTCTATATAGTTGCATAAACATGTTGCATCGCTAACACGAACACTAGCGTACATTTTCTAATTTTACATCACCTTTTTTTATTGCAAGTTTACCGTTGCACGATTTGTACACAACTTATTATTTTTCATGTGTTGCAAAGCAAAAAAAAAAAAAAATACGAAGGCTCGGTGCATTTGCTGCACTTGTTAGGCATTGCGGCAGTACGATTAGCTCGATAGAGGTATTCACTTAACACTTAAAGATTTAGAGGTTTCTTTTGCATAGCAACCGATTACCAGGTATAGCACTGGCATCTAGCGTTTATCAAAGGCTGACAGAATGTCAGTGGTGGTGGCTTTACCTCCTGATACTGGGGTACGCTCATATATTACAGATGTGAGCTCTCCAGTGTGAAAAGCAAGCGATGAATATCTTTTTTAGCCGATATGCATGTTCTTGTCTTTCCTTCAGTCGTTGGAATGTAGACACGATAATCGGTCAATCCCATTCCTCTAACCTTCACTTCGGCAAGCCAAGCTTTAATGCTGAAGACTATATCAAGGTGCTTGTCGGGTATAAATATTAGTGGATGGAACGAGACAGAAGAAGCGTGAAGCAAATAAATTTGTTTCGTGATTAGCTTCTTCCGTTGCATATTGCGGCCGGTTTCCAAGACAGTCCGGAGCAAAACAACTCAATTGGGCGACTCCTTTTAAAGTTTTCAATGAATTTTATATGGGAAAAGTTCTTTGTTCGACAGTGATCCAGGGAAACACGCTTTGAGGGTGCGTACTCCAAAATTAGTCTTAATTCATCAACGCTCACGCCTTCAAAGGTTCTAATTTTGTCGATCGACAGCAGTCAGCATGTTGGGGACATCACTTTCCATTGAGTTGCGGCCAGCTTTGGGCTTCAGAACAGATTGCGTTGCAGGGATCGTTGGTTGTATTTGCAGTAGATAAAGTAATTGGACGCACTAGTAGCCTTAAGCTAGGTTCAACATCGCCCGAGCGCCTGTCCAAAGTGCGTCTAGGCTGCTAATTGCGAATCTAAAGACTTATCACTTCTGCTTGCTTCTTTCCCTCGAACATGAGTTGCTCGTTCTCAACCTCAAACATTCATTCTATGAGCTTCGTCTCTACAAGTAGTCAGTATCCTGGTGTTACTTTTCCAACAGGGCGACTGTATCAAATATGGTTACCGGTAGTTCCATGCACAAGTGTTCAAAGTGTGGTGTGCACTTCGGCTTTTTCAACTCTGTCATGGGTAATTTGTCAGATCTTGCTCTTTCCAATGCGCTTACCTGGAGCCTGTCGGTGGGCCGTGGAGGTCGTTGGGTCCTTTTCCCTAAGTGTTCTAAGCTCGGATCAACTTTCTTCTGTTGAAGACTGGGCTGAATCGAAAGTTCTATGCCTCGGCGCTTATGTGACAAGTAGACAGTATTCCGCCGTTATCTCTCAGGTTTAACGTTATCGATTATTGATACCCGTAGACCACCTGTCAATCGCCACCTCTAACCAGTTCCATGAAAGAGAATTTGCCTTAATTTTCTTGAGGAAATGAGCCGAATTCTTGCATTATTCTCGACGGTCTTCGGTGTTGCTTACGTGTTAAAACAAGTGAGCATCATTCCAGCGTTACCTTCCCAACAGGGCTGACTTTATCGATTACAACTTTCTAAAGATCCATGAGCGACTCGAAGAATGCCGGTGACTTCAGCCTTTTCGGCCCTGGACGGCTCTTTAGTTGTTTCTCTTTGCAATGTTCTTACCTGGATACCGTTAGATTCGATAGATATTTTGGCCTCAGTTTCTTAAGGGCGTCCTCTTAATGATTTCGCGTAGCCATGTCTCGCCTCTTTATCCTGCTACTTCTCCGGACGGGCATCTGCGGTTGAAGGTTGCCGTAGATTGCTCAGCAATAAGCTACCTACCCGCATCAAAAAATTGTCGCCGTTAACACAAATTAGGACTTTTCATGCTACCCCACCGTGAACACCCTTATTTGCTAGCCCACCTCATTCAGCCAATTTATCATTTATTTAAAACACTAGAAACAAAAAAGCATTGTTGTTGCCATGTAACAAGAAAGTTTTGGTGGCATGTAGCATAGTGTTTTGTTTAAAATTTTCAGTGTTGCTTTTTTACAAAGCTTATTTTCCCAATCACTTGTGCGTATATATTTGTATCAGTTGTGTATTTATTCTTTTTGTGAAGTTCAAAAAAACGCAGAAACTTCGTGTGAACGCAGAATGAAAGAAAGAATGAGCAAAAGCTTGCGCGCAATAAATTCATTGGCAAATTTAATGCAATAAATTCAGAAAAACGTGCCACAAGTCTTAAAAAAATGTTCAAGTAAATAAGCGTGGAATGGTTGCATATTTTACTTTATTAACAATTTTTAATTTGAAATTTGTTTCGTAACTAGTAGAAAATGTGTGATGTAGCAAATGTGAAATTTCAACAACCGAAAAGCATCGATAATTTTTCTTTTTTCACAGCAGAAAATTAGAGTGAAACATCTTTTTTATTAAAGATAAATTGCCAGTGTTTTTCGTCAATGTAGAGGCAGCACTTTAGTGGCTTATTGAACTCCTTCAATTTACGGCCAGTTCGCCGTATATTCGTTGTACTATCATTTAAGGTATTTTCAATTCTATGTTAAGTAAATGTATCTCACTCTCTCTCTCTGGGATGGGGTTCGACGAAGTTGGTTAAAAATTAAAAATAAATAAATTATAATGAAAAATAAAGAAATGAAAAATAAATATAATTAGTATAATAAAACAAAAAATAATAAAATATTAAATATAATTAAAACTAAATGAAATATTTAACGAAATAAAAAATTTTAACTAAGGAAAAAATAAATATATATACATATTTTGTATGTAAATAAATAAAAATTTTACTACATAATTAAAATAAAATAAAATAATAAATGTATTAAAAATTCAAAAATAAATGTAAATTATATAAAATAGAAAATATGTATGTTTAATAAAATTTAAACTATAAATAACATTAAATAAAACAAAATAAAAAGGTAATTTTTGATAAATAAAAATATTATTTCAAAAATTTATGTAAATCAAAACAAAATAAATTAAAATAGATAAAACTGACATTTTTAACAAGATTTTTAGAAAAACTGGAAAAGGCAAAAATTAAAATAAATAAAACTAACATTTTTTAACAAGCTTTTTTGGAAACCTGGAAAAGGCAACTAAGTCAAAGCATTTTTTCTAAAAGCTGTCGTGGCATAAGCTGAAAAATCTGGTTGAAATAAAAAAAAGTTATTTAATAAAGAACTTCAAAGATAAAATATGTAAAATAAAAAATATAAACAAGATAAACAAAAGAAATAAATAAACTAAAAAAGTTAAAATGAAAAAAAGTAAAAAAACAAAATTAAGTCAAACACAAAAGTAAAGGAAATAAAAGATACAGTAAAAAAATTACTAAAATAATATTAAAGAAATTGAAATGTATGTAGGAGATAAAATAAAATAAAACAATTAAATAAATAAAGTAACGAAAAGGTTAATTATGTTACAAAGAAAAATTTAAAACTAATATATACTGAAAAAAATAAAAAATAAGTAAAACTAAATGGAAATAAAAAATTAAATATAATTACAACATTGAATAAATTAAGGAAATAAAAAAAAAAATCAAACACAAAATTATATAACCAAAAAATACAAATAAATGAAAAACACAAATAAATAGAAAACCTAAAAAATATTAAATTATGTAAAATAATACAACAAAATAGAAAAACAAAATTTTGTGAAAGTTTACATAAATAATTAGTATGGTATGAAATGTAAAAGAGTAAAATGTAACAAATTGGAATAAATCAAAAATTAAATCAAACAAACTAAATTAATAAAATTAAAAATAAAGTGAAGTAAATGTACGAAAATTTGTGGAGCGTTGTTCCCGACACCATGCTATTTCTACACACTCGCTTATGTACAGATAAAATTATTATTTTTATTTATTACCAACGAAAATATCGTTTTAGTTTCAAACCCTCACAAAGATTAACAAACGTTAATAGTTTCCCATCCTTCTTTCACATTTCTCCATAGGCGCCTGTGTGTATGCAAATTTATGTTTAAAATTACTGCAAAATACAAAAATTTAACCATAATTTGTGCAACACTAAATGTTTAATAAATTTTCGATTAGCTCGCTGTTTGCATATAAAATAATAATGAAAACAAATATTACTCCCGTAAAATATGTCTAATAATTTTTTAACGCAAAATAGAACAAGCGTTTGCTTTACTAATAAAATCGTAAATAAATTTCATACTAAATGCTACATATAAGCGCACTCAACATTTGTTTTCATTGTGAAATTTGCATTGCTGTGGCCGATTTGAGTACTTTTGGGCTGGCAGCGAGCAAACGAATTTTAATTTTCCACACTAATAATCATGTATTTGTTGGTATTTGTTCTAATGCAAATACGTAAATATGCACCGACAATAAATTGCATTTGGTAGTAATTTATTTGTTAAAAGCAAACAGCAGTTACATGTGCACTTGAAAGAGTAAAGTGGATTTAGAAAACTAAAAAAAAAATGTAATTTATTCAGCGCGCTTATTTGCCAACACTTGGGTTAATATTAAGCTTCAATTGGTTTTAAAATAAAGTTTATGCATTTATGAGCACATCAATGCGGAAATGAAAATGAGTTTACGAAATTTAAACAAATTAAATAAATTATGCAATGCCGGAAAATATTTTTTTTAACCACAATAAAATATTTTTTTTTTACACTAAATATATACTAGAAAAACATTTCGTGCCCAAAAATGTCACAAGCGCGCGCGACACAATTGCGCAAAACAGGGATTATAAAATGAGATAAGCGAAAATTTAATCTTCCGCTGTGATATTAAACAGATAAAAATGTCTGCGAGCAAAATGTGAGTAAAGGAAACAGTTGCCAAGTCGCACAGCTTCAGTGCGAAAAAAAATATAAAAAAAAT